ATAATTTTTACTAATAAATGAAAGTTCAGTATCATCATCAGATTAGAACATTTTTTTTACATTACATGAACATCAGATTAGAACATTTTTTTATTAGCATCAGATTAGAACTTGAAGTATGCAGATTAACAAGTGATACTGATGAGGAACAGCTAAAAGGAAAAGAATATTTCATTGAATGCAAAGAACTTTGGTAAACTATCCAGCTGTTTACTAAATTATACCTAAAATCTTTACCAATGGTCTTCAGATGAATTTCTAATGCAAAACCTACACTTGCATTTTTGGAGTTATTTTTGTGTAATGAAAATATATAATATTTTAGTCTTCACAACATCTAGGGTATCAGTGTTCAAAGATGTTCCATATTCTGTCATGTCACCCATATAATTAAATGAACTTTAAAAAAAGAATACATGGAAGCAAATTAAAATTAATCTATTTAGTTATACTAGGTACTTCTGCTTTCCATCTTCTTTCGGCCTTGAAACTTAAGCTCTTGTTTGACTTCTCTCAATAATCTAAAAGTTTTAAATTTTTGTTATCTCTGAATAATTATATTTTCTCAAAAAGAAAGAAAATGAAACTACATCACAAAAATCTGGAAATTTTGAATCAATGTAGTTAAAAATCTGGAATTCTTGCTCTAATCAGGATGTAATCATCCACGATTAATCAATGTCTTTTAACAGCTAAAATCATTCTAGTTGAATTATGATATTTTGCATATTTCTGGATGGACCGGGGAGGAACCCTTTTATTTTTATACTTTTAGTATGGCAAACTTAACAGCAGTTTTCCTTACATGTATAAGCAAATAAGCATTTTACAGTGTGCTAGATTTACAGCACACATAGCTTAATTACAGAAGTAAGTTAATTCTATTAGTGAAGTTATGTATCATACTCGAATACATCATACACGAATGTGTTTACTTATGTAAACACATTCGTTTTAAACTGGTATGACTCGCACAAGGTATGAGATACCCACTTCCCTGAATTTTTTAATGTTCCTTCCAGACCTTTTTCCGGAAATAGACAAGTCTGCGCATAGCTCACTCTAAGGTCATAACCTTGGGGCCGAATTCTGAAAATAGTTCTTCGGATATCGCCTCGGACGGGTATGTTATACTCTGCATGAGTATTTGTGTTATAGTTCAGAGTATGCGAACAAGCTTCCAAATTGTTTTTCCTTTATCCCACATTATCACAGTTATGGTGAAGAAATGCAATATTTGAGAAATTTATTGGATATTGCACATTCAGAAGAATAACTATCCTTGGAACCATAAGAAAAAATAAAAGAGATTCCTCCAATGTTTTTGAATTCAATGAAAAGATTGATTTACTCCTCCATGTTTGGATTCCAAAAAAACACAATAATTCTCTCACCTACACCCAAGAAAAATAAGAATGACTTCTACTTTCAACTATACATAATGATGATGTAATAGACTCATCTACAGGAAATTCGAAAGAAACCTGAAATAATAACTTTCTACAATTTATCTAAAGGAGCAGTTGACGTTGTAGACAAAATTGCTGCCACATATTCAACAGCTAGGAAATCTAATCTTTAATCCATGGCAATATTTTTTGCAGTTGTTACACGTTGCTGCAATAAATGCACGAATTATTTTGTTATGCACTAAGAAACTACCTACTGAACATCAAATGTGGTGATCATCTTTGAAATATTTAGAATTTCAGTTTGCAGAAAAATACAGGAAAAATAGAAGCCAACAAGCAATGCTTCTGATTAAACTTAAAAGGAAAACTAGGATCCAATGGAAACATTGCACCACCTACAAAGAAGGCCAAAGTTATACCTAAAAGATGCACTGAATGCCCTAATAAAAAAGACAGGAAAACTAAATTTATTTGTGAAAGGTGTGACAAACATATATGTACAGAACACATGGCACTTATTTGCAGAAAATATGTAAAATAAATAAAAGTAGCATGATTAACTAGTTTTACAACTGTAGTCTTCTTTTTAAATTCCCCCCTTTCGTGCATAGATTTTATGGTAGAAAATATAATGAAATACCCTTGTGTATGACATACCTTGCACAGAACACAATGGTTGAAGCTGTTTCAATTTAGGGAAAGGACTTCAGGGAAAATTTCAATTTAGGAAAAATGTTTTTTTAGGAAAGGGAATAAATCTAAAAAAAACCTTTTTCGCTGGAATTTTTTTAAACAGTCTGTTTATTTTTTTTTCTCTTAGTTACAGTATTAAATATTACTTCCAAAGTAATTTTGTTAAATATGTGCATTTTAACAGGCTTTCTTTATTTCTTTAAAAAAAAAAAGGGAAAAAGAACCATTTATTCATTTTTTCTCTGCTCTTTTTTTTTTTTTTTTTTTTTTTGTAGTGATGTTATTTTCTTTATATGGAATCAGATTTTTAAAACATAACAAATTTTTCCATTCTATAAACCTTGATTAAGAAATATTTTCTAAACTATAAATATGTTTAGTTATTTATAAACATGTTGAGTCATTTATACGCAAACAATTCAAACTTAAAGTACACATTTAAAAGGAGGAAAGTAAAAATCATAAACATGCCCTAAAATCCACAAACCTTTCCAATCCACACACCCCTTTGTCCAGAATTGCATAAATTATTAGAATTCTATTGTATTTTATATTACTTTCTATTTTTCCGCCTCTTCCCTCTTAGATTATTACAAAAGGGGAATAATGAACCTAAGACATTTCAATGCTTTAGTAATTTAACATTAAATTGGATTTTTGAGTTCATTACATGACAAAAATCTATATTTCCAGAAATAACACTCTTTTTCCTTTCTATCAAAGCTGTGGGGGGGGGTAATTTATGCATGTAAACATAATTTTGGACATGAGTGTACATGAAAGCATCATGTAGCCAGGAGCTCTCGGTACAAACTAATAACATGCTGAGGCTTTGAGGAGAGTAAGACGACCTTTTAGATTGTAAAAAATGTGAAAAGCTCCATTATTATTAACCTAATTATTTTTCTAGTAAATTTCATTGCACAGTTCAAATGTTTTATTGATAAAACTACACATTATTATTATTATCATTATTATTATTATTATTTATTGTTAAAGTAAAAATGTAATTTTTATCTTCAGCATTATTATTATTTTTTTAATTTTATAGAAGTAATCTTGAAAGTTCCTTGAAATGTTAGATTTCAGATATAGAATCATATTTGAGTGCATATAAATTTTTCTCTTATTCATAGAATGACTTTTAACCCTTTCAGGACGGGCGTCCCATATACGCATTCCCTAAGAACATCTCCATGCTTCGAGGTTTACCACACTCAGTCTTCATTTTAAATTTCGTTTCTTCTTACTGTAAATAGTCTTTATTGTGTTGTTTTATTAATTTTGATTTTATCAATTAAAACTTTGGAATAATTTGAATAGCGCTTCCGAAAATTATTTTACAAGATAAGCAATTTTCAAGTATATTTTCACGTAAAATAAAGAAAAAAAGGTTATTATGTGTGGATTTTAACATATATAAGAGCTTGGGTAATAATCTAAAATGATACCAAAAATTACAATGCTAGAAGTGAAACTTTTTTTTCTGATTTTTTTATAAAATTAGCCTTAGCGATTCAAAACTTCCATCCTGTATGGTGACTGCCTTTGATTCCCTTCCATCCCGCATGAGCGTCTTAAACAAAGTTGCGCCATCGCGAAAAGGTTAACTTGCATTGATAGTTACAAATTTATTGAAAAATTTAACTGAACCTATTTTTGTTCTAACATTTCGAGTTAAAAAATTTGAAATTTTTTTATTCAAGAAAATTCAAACGACTGAAGAATATTTTTAAACAAAGACAATATCTCAATAATTTATTTCTTCTAGGACCAAAACTTAGAGAGATTTACTTAATACTCTTAGGTAAGTAACATTATAAAATAATATTTAAGTTTGTTTGATGGTTTGAAATTATAAAAATGAACCTAAACTTTGGGGGGGGGGAGAACCTCGTTTTGAGAAAAACGTGAAAAACAAAAAAAAAATTTTATCAACTAAATTTCAGAATTTTTTTAACTTTCTTACACCATAATCACACTGTGATAACTGCTCTGTAACTTCCTGTTTAACTTTATTTTGTCTTTTAGTAATTTTTGCTTGCTTAAGTTATTTTAAAAATCATTGTTTCAACTTTGATGAATAGATTTTTTTTAATTTTTAAATAAGCTTTACACGTCCTACTGTATATCTGTCTTAATTCTTTGAAACTTTTATCACTTCAATTCAGCAAAAAATAATTTCTTTAAAATATATAACAATATCCTCTCTCTAATTTTCAATGATTTTTCATCAACAAAACCATTTTCATGCTCATCTAGAGCTTCTCTGAGCAAAAGATCTCCAAAAAGCTTTTTCTTTTTTGTTTAGTTAACAGACATCATTTTGAAAAGAAGTGTTTATGCATAACACTGTAGACATAAATAAAACATAATAACTACATAACATACTATTAAGTCTCAGTTAAGATTTATTTATAGTAAGAGGACTATTTATTTATAGTAAGAGTTTATAGGGCTCCACTTGAAAATTCTGTCTTTAAAAAGGAGTTGTGGCTGTTTTAATATACATCATGTATAATAATTTAATAGAGATTGGTACCTTAAATCTAAAGATGTTATGCATTTTTGGAATCAGCATTTGAAGTCAAAAAGTGAAAAACTGATTTTTAGACTTACCCTCCTTATTAAGGATTTACTCTCCTCAAATACTCATCTACTAACTGGGCATATAAAATTCTATGCATATAAATACTTTAGCATGTGTGACAGACGGCAAAATTTGACATGAAAGAATACATATATCATTCCCCAAAATGATATATTTATGAGCCAAGTGTGATGCCTTTTTACATTCTGTTTTTAGCATGAAATTTTCAGGCAACCAAATATATAAAAGTAAAAAAATTCAAACCATAATAAAATTTTACAAATAAATGAAAACCTTAAATTTACTTTTCAAGTTGAGTCTGAAGTTTATCTCGCCGATCCTTCAATCGCCGAACTTTTTCTCTAATGGACCTTGTAGTATTCTTATTTTGTTCCATATACCTATTAAAATTCAGTGATAGATTATTGATAACATTATAGCATAGATTAATGTTAAAGGAATGGCATATTCATTAATATCAAAGTTAAGAATTCTTATCAATTAGCAATCATATTTGCTTACCTATCCATGTACATTATTTCTGGAAATTCTAATTTATTATGAATTTTTTCTGGCCGTCCTAATTGTTGATTAAATTGAAATCTTGAAAGTTCAAAGAGTAACACTGGAGGTAGACGAGTAAACCAACTCTATAAAGAAAATAAATATACAATCATTCGAATTAGTAAGAAACTTTAAAAACTAGACTCCTAAAATCATTGGCTACACCATTTTTACCAATACTCTGTAAAATATTTTTGAGAATTTAATGCACAATTTCCCAGATGATTCCAATGTGAAAAAAAGATTTTTTTAAACAAAATTAAACAAAAGTCTGAAAAGATTCAGACTGTAACATCACACAAGACTTTACCAGAGACAACAGGCACATTGAGGGCATGGCCGGTGGTATCGTGCATGGTTGGCATAGCAGTTCACAAGACGGAATATCTAAACATGAACAGGGATTTCAATACCCAGGAGCTTGAGACTGCAATTGTGGACTCAAATCTAAATAAATCTTCTGGACCTGATGGTATACATGAGCAAATAATAGATAATTTAGGTCTGAGTGGGAGACAAAAGATTCTTTGATATTATAAATGCTTCCTAGAAATTAGGGCAGCTTTCCGGAGATTGAAGAAGAGCTGATGCTGCCCCTATAAGAAATCCCAGCAAAGGGAATCTGCCAAAGGAACAATATGGTTCTAGAGAGAGGGACACTGCACAACAGATCAAGTACTTTATTTCTGTCAGAAGATTAGACACACTCATAACAGGAGACTGCTAATCACACTGTAGCAGCCTTTTTGACAGAGTATGGAATCAAAAACTAATTATAAAATTGTTCAATGTTTTTGGAATTTGTGGAAAGGCCCTGAACTGGAATTATGATTTTTTAAAACACAAACTTAAAAGGGTAAGTTTAACAATTCCCTTTCAAGGAGCTTTAGACTGTACAAACAGGTCCTGCAGGGATCTGCCTCAAGTCCTATTCCGTTTTTGCTCTTCCTAGTAGGTATCGAGCATGTAATCCCTAGGAGATGTGAAGTGGGCTTATTTGCAGATGATATTGTTCCTTGGGAATCCAGCCACTGATTTGAAGGAATATATTAAAGTTATATTAAAGTTGCCTTTGACAATTTATGGAATTTTGCTAAAAATTTTGCTCTTGTAATCTAATCGCCAGTACTATGGAAGAGCACCATCTGACACCTGATCCTCCAGAGGGTGTCTCTAGTGTCTTTTTCAATTCATGTAAACAAGCAAAAATATCTTCCTGATTATTTAAGGCAATTGGGGCTCTTGAAAGAATTAATAATACTCCAATGGATGCTGTTCAGGTGTATACGGACAGTAGTAAGAATGATAATAATAGTACTGGAAGTAGAATTTACATAAAATCACAAAATCATGAGATAAAGATTCAGATGAGGGATCCCGACTACTGCTCTGTCTTTCATAGCCAGCTAACTGACATAAATGAAGGTCTTGATTCTCTTATGTCACTCACTGATGGAAAACAAATATACACCTTCTCTGATAGCAGAAGTTCTATTCAACACTTGGCCTGTTGGTATAGTGTGAGAGATAATACAGGAGTGAATATTCTTAAGAAACTTAAGCACCTTTCTTTGTCTCATCAGATTCATATACAGTGGAATCCTTCCCATGTTAACATCTTGGGCAATCAGACTGCAGACACCCTGGCTAAGACAGGCGCTGGAGATGCCTTTGTGCCTTCTATGCCTCTCACCTATATGGAGATTATTTTATGATTAAGTGCACTTGGCTTGTTCCACCGGTTCACTTCCGGTATTAGTGTAATCGACCAGATGGCTCTCTGACACCTGATTGCAACAGACAGTATCAAACCACCCTCACCCACTTAATCAGTAGGCATAGATCTCACACTTTTTGAGGATTTCAAGTATTTTGAAGTCTGCACCAAGTATTCTTCTGAACAAACTTCCTCTGATTACATTCTTACTTGCCTGGGGCTCTCTAGGCAGGATCTCATTGAAAATCCATTGTTGGTTCTGGATTTCTTTAGGGTTCACAATACCATGGACCTGATTTAGTCCTGTTAGTCTTTTGGGAATAAGCAGCAATTCAACAGCAAAATCTCCAAATATTTTAAAACAGCTTATCAGAAAAATTTAAGTCATGTAACATAAATTTAAAGAAGTAACCAAGAAGTTTTGATGGTCTAGTTATGGAAGATTCAAAAGAAAATATGATACATTTCTATTACCAGGATGCCAGTCACCAAATGTGCATGAAAGCACCAAATATGGTAACTTGTTTATATCGCATTATGAATAGTTGTGCAACATTTAATGTGCAATGCCCAGTTTGTGCTATTTTCTGGTTCTTTTAAGCAAAAATATATTGCTGCGTACACAGGAAGAACAAACGTTTGATACTGTGCCCAGCTTCAGCATTGTGCACATTACACATCGTATACATTATAATAGACAATGCTCAATGTGCACATTACTATAATCACAAGTTAAAATTTTTTTAATGAAACTTTATGTTTCATTAAAGTTGCTGTTAGTTAAATTTTGTTCAATGTTTATGTTTGACACCCTACACCAGAAATTTTTATATGTACTTGTATATATTTATTTAATTGACTAAATATTGGAAAGCATTGAGGTGCTATTTACCTAAAGTAGATTCTATGAAAAACACCTATTTCTCAAAAGACACATCTCAAAAGAATTTTAAAAATCTTTCTCCGAAATATAACATATGCATAAGAGCTGTATGAATGCTTTATACTTGTTATGTAAGGGAAAAAACCATAAAAACATATAAATAGTCAACTCATCTCTTATCAAGAACTGAATATAACGATGAAATTAATGACACACAGAACGTTTAAATAGGTCATTTATGTAACTCCAGATTTTTATACACATTAAACATTGCATCCCCCTACATGTTAGGAAGTGTACAGATCTCCTGAATTAGCAGATCAAAGGACCAGGAAAACTTAAATCTTTAGTATTTAACATTAAGTGATAGTTTTTAAAAGTGGTGAAAAAAAACTAAAAACAATACAAGCAGGAGCAAAGAGGCAATTAATTACCCTTAACACAGAAAAATACATCATCAATACAAGCATTGCTATAGCCAAAAATCCATAACTTCAAAGCTGCAAACGTAATAGAAATTGCTAAATTGCTCACACAGCAAAAATTAAAATCATTCAGTATAAGCTTATCTGGAGTCAACATTTCAGATTGGGAACACGTAAGCTTGAACTCTCAAAAGAACTCATAACTTTTAGCAACACTTTACTTACACTGCAACCATGAAGAATAACACTATAAAAATATTCCAAAAAATTTCGATTTAAAGTCGAGAAAATGTGTTTCCTGGAAATTTCAAATGAATAACGTACGGAACGAATGTATGGAAGAATGCACCTAAAACTGCATTAATAAGTCATTAATAACTTTAATGAAACTCTCCAAACAAAATTAATTAGAAAAAGGTGCAAGATCTCAAAGAAAATATTTAATAAACATTTTGCAGTAATCATTCCTATGCATAAGTTTCTTGCTACTTACCTCTTGACCAGATTTTGTCATAACATCATATGACTCAATCTCTTGAGCCATGGCAGCCTCTAAACTCTCATGAATATTACTAAAGCCATTGACTTGAAGGGGGTATTGGCCAAATGTTTCTTCATTGCTAAACATGCGTCCTAAAATTAAAAGTTGATTAGCTTCAGTTTTTATAATAATGATATTTTACATAATTAGAAGTAATAAAAAAAGAATTACAAGCTATACCTTCATTGTGTCCTTCAGATAAAAAATGACCATAAAATAAATCTAACATGGGATTTTGTACAGAATCTTCCATCATACTCTCCCTAGAAATATATGATTAATTAAAAAAAATTAAATAAAGAAAGCAGAAGTAATCACCTGTTAGTACATTTAAGTAGACTCAACACTGCTTATTCATTTAGAAAAAATAAAAGTAATTTCATTATCTGATTACATATAAACTAAGAAATTACATTGCATTGAAGACATTTTTACTCCCTCACACACACACACAAGGGGGAAAAAAAAAAATTGCACTTAAAATGCTATGCTAAAATAAAAAAATCTGATATGAAACTCAAATGTTGAATGAATACAACTTTGTGAATATTATATGACAAGATACAAAATAATCATCTGCTTGTTTAAAACTGAAATGCTTTTTGAAGTGAAATTTAAATTCACGTAATCGACAAGATTTGACTTAACTGGTGGCATTACTAGGAAATATTAATACATTGAAAGGATGGATCCACAGAACTTGCTACAGCATTCTTTACAGATTACAAGATACCCCTTTAAACTTAAAATCTTCACTTTACAGATTACAAGATACCCCTTTAAACAATATATTATTGGCTTCTATTACACATCAACAGAAGTGGTACATAGGTACATATCCTCAAGTGTTAACCTATTTTAACAAATTACTCCAAGAAGATGCCATTAATTCATGAATTACTCCAAGAAGAGTCAACAGTGAATATTTTACCTTTCCTCACTATAATATAAGAAAAATACAATTAAAATGCACCATTTAAAAAGAACTTAAGTATCTCATTTTATACCTCAAAAGCTTGAACTTTTAAACTGAATTAATCAAAGAGGCGAAAAGTATTAAAATTGTTTCCGATACAGACGAAAATAACAAAAGCTGCAACTCTGTCACTTTACAATAAAAACATTATTCCGTTCATTCTTCAAGAAGCCTTCAACATGCATTTTACTTATAGGTAAAACTACTTATTTTTTCCTCATAATGTTTAAAAAAAAAACTATTAATCAACAATAAACTTACTGATTGATAAATAATGGGCTTATGAGAAATGCATGCATAAAATGCTCATAATGTTAATTTTGTCTTTTCAACAGGTAATCTATGACACATTTTTGTATTGTATCAATAATTTTATGAGTGAGTAAAATCTGCTGCTCCTCCTTTTTAACTTGAAGATTAATAATTTTTTGTTTTTCATTTCTAATGGGGGGGGAACACATCAGATATATTTTTTAACTAAATCGAATATATTTTTACACTAAAATGTACACTGCTCAAAAAAAAAAGATGGGACAGTCCTATATCTCCCGATCTACTGGGCCGATTGACAAAATTCAAATTGCGTTCTTCATGTCTCGAAAGCGCGACTTAGGATATATATTAGATTTATATATAGCACTATTCTAACATAGGTATTTTGACACAAAATCGGACTTTTTCTGAAATAACATACCAATTTTTTTACATATTTCGATTCTACGACTCAAATTACGCCTAAATATGAAATTTTGTAAAATTTGGAGCGAAAATTTATGGAGAAATTCACAAATTTATGTTGGCACTTTTTGTCAGTTTGCGCCAAGAATACTTCACTTGGCGAACTTCTTAATATATGGGCAACCTAGTTTCCTTAGGAAAAAAAAAGTCACCATCATTCCTTTTTCCAAATAATATTCTTTACTTTATATTTTTTAATTATAACATATTATTTTAAGTAATTTTTTTCTTTTTCTTTTTCGAATTTCATTTTAATTGTTTAAGTTGCACCTCCCCCCCCCCCCCCGAATAACTGTTTTAAAAATTTCTATTTGCCTATTCGAACTGCGTAAATAAAAGTGCAGCGTTTATTTATTATTTTATTTTTCAAACAGTTTTCTTTATATATATTTTTCGTCATAGCTATTATTTTAGGTCATTTTAAAATTTTTATACTTTTATTTTAATTGTTTGTGTTGCATTGTCTCTTCAGATAATTGTTTTAAAATTTTCTATTTATTCCTTTGAACTGAGCATTTTAAATATATTTATTAATATCAATTTTCCAGAATTTGATTTTATTTATTTGAACTGCGTTTTTTGTCGGAAGAATACTTTGTAACCCAGACTACGACGCGTTTGAAAACTGCATACTATATTAAAAGAGAAAATACAGTAAAGCACAGTTTTACACACCTTTCAATGTTCCGTTCAGAAAAAATATATATAAATAAGAGAGATGTATAACCGATATTTTAACTTAGGATGACTTGCATACACTGCTTTAAACTGCTTTAAACAGTTTTATCATTGTGCCCATTGCTTTACACAATTTTATCCTACATTTGGTTTCTTTAAATGTTATTCATATTTTAGTCAAATATTTTATTTTTGAAATCACAAGAATCAAATATCATAAGATTGAAAAGTTTTAAATTTTAAAAAATACGAATACTAAATTTTACGAAAAAATTTATTTTTCTTTTCTGTTTCTTTAAGCATTCTGAAAGTATATTGAAAAGTATCCAACTTTTCGAAACATTTTGGTATTTCTGACAATCATTTTAAATAAAGTTATCGCCTTCCATTTCAAAAAGGCCCACAAACGGCCGAGCGGTAAAGTTGCCGAACACTGGTAGTTCACTCCGGGGTTCGAACCCCGGTAAACGGGCTGGTTGCATGGGCGTTTTCGTGGATTTTCTCATGTGTACCGCGTATGACAGCTGGTTTTTCTTAGAAAGTTCTTCACGAAGTATTTCGTCAGAGCCTTTATCAGTCTTTAGAGGCTAAACATTTTGAAGCTATGAGATGAAAGGAATGACTGGTTTCATCAAAAGGTTTTGGTTTATTTTATTATGACAAAGCACACTACGGCTATCTGCCTAAGGGGAGGGATGCCTTCCTGGAGGACTTTCTTAGGGAAACTGGCTCGCATACACGTTACACATGGGGAAAACCACGAAAACGCCCATGCAGCCAGCCCGTTTGTGGGATTCGAACCTCGGACCGAACTACCAGTGTTCAGCAACTTTACAGCTCGGCCGCTGTTTCATCAGGAATGGAAAAAAAAACATCTTTAAGTGCATCCACATACATCACTGGATAAACTCCTGAATCTTCAAATAACTCGACTGAGGAAATCATGGGATTCACCATTTATGATACGATATGATGTTCTATAACATAATTTACACAACCATATAGTTTAAAACCAGTCGCTCTTCACTTTAATCTGCAATGATATCGTTTTGTCTTTTCTGTTAACACAAACTCAATTGATGGTATTTGCTGGTGTACTCGTCCAAGTGTTTTCTCTTTGAACACCTAAATTCTTTAAAGTATCCTGAAAGTATATTCGAAAGCGTCCAACTTTTTGAACATCTTGGTACGTCTGACAGCCAAATTTCCCTGCAAATTTTTGCTTACTTACTTTTCTCCCTAATTTTCTTCTTTCCTTCTACAGTTATTTTCAGTGCTCACACAAGAAAATTAAGATTTTTCGACTGCTAGACTTCCATTACATTTTGCATTCTTGTCAATTTTTTAAAATATCAATTATCATGAATTGCGTTTCAGCTAAAGACAGCTTTTCATTTTCTAGTCATTTTAAGCTATAAAAAATAAAGTTTAAAGCGAAAGTCCAAAGGATAAATATTTTAATTAAAAAGATTTTTGCTAAATGACAAAGAAATAAAACCAGTCCAGCAGGGTTTATTCTGTACCACAGAGTGACCCGATTCTTATATCAGGCTGCAAACAATCTAAATTAATCATATTAGATTTTTAAGCCTAATCATTTCTATAGTAAAGAACATGTTTTTTTTTTTTATACAATCTATAACGCGAGATAAAAATTAGCTTTCTTAAAAACATGCTTCTTTCTAAGAGAATTAATATAAAAATTTATATTTATATATATATTTTTTAAAGTTTTGGACTTGAACCAAACTGTCAGACTTTTAAAGCTTATTATTTTACATGGTGGTTATTATTAAAGTTCCACTTTGAAATGGTAATAAAAGGAAAACTACCGGACCAAATGTTATCAAACTTGGGAATCGTGTAAAGGAGGTTATGAGAATTTATTTTTTTGGCGGAAAAAAAAAAAAAAAAAAAAAGAGTTCAAAAACTCACCATCATCAGGGGAAAAATGGCGCTGTACACAATATTGTTAAATGAAATAAGACACGAAAAACATCTGTTTAAAATGTGTTTAATATTTTCCGAAACGTGTTACAAAGCATGTTCAATGTAGCGTCCAGCATTTTCCGAAAGCAAGTTAAATCATGTTACTGCATTCTCAACAGCAGCTCTTAGCATATCAGGTTTGGTTTTTTGGTTTGGTTTATTAGATTACGGCAAAGCACTCGAGGGCTATCTGCCTTAAGGGAGGGATGCCTTCGTGGAGGACTTTTTAAGGAAAACTGGCTCGTATACACGTTACACATAGCATATCAGGAGGAATGTTATCAGTGTATCACATTTTTCATTTCTGCCAAATTGTTTAGATTATCACCATAAACAGTGCTTTTGAGATAACCTCATAGACAAAAGTCACAGAGGTTGAGGTCTGGTGGGAAGAGGGGAAGTGTTGGCCTATAAGACGTTCATTCGTGAAATGTTGCCTAAGTAACTATGCGACACTCTTGAGGTGATGCCCAGCCCTGCATAAAAATCGTAGTATCTAAAATGCCCCGTTACTGCAGTTCATGTACCACGAAACATTTTAATATTGGCTCTAAGTGAGCTGCAATCGCAGTGGTCCAGCTGTCGACTGCTCTTCAGAAAAAAATGGTTCAGTTATAAAACTAGCTGTCATTCAACAGTAAACGGTGTGAAATGACTGTTATGCAATCGAATGCAGTAGGAGAATGCAATGAAACTAGATAGATAACATGAGAGATTTCTTTGGCCCAAATCGATTAAAAGCGTTTTGAATCAGTATATCTTCATGTTTTCCTGTTTTACTGCCGAATTCAGGCTTAAAAAATTACAAAAATTACAAATTAGCGATCTGTAAGAAAATGATTTCCAGATTGTACGCTCTTGTGAGAATGATTTGCGATCTCACATTTTCTAATCGCTATTCGTGGTTTTCACGGACGAAATTCTCACTTACAGGGATGGCGCACTCGACAATTTTTATCGAATTTAACGTCTTTAAATGGTAATTTGCCTACTTCAAAGTTTCTTAAGGGTATACAACACATTAAACCCGTTTAACAAAAAGGTTAAGTGTTAGATTTCCGACCCATATTTCGTTTACAAATATTGCAATACAGCGCCATTTCCCCCCCTGGTGGTGAGGTTTCGAACTTCCTTTTTTTTTTAGCGGAAAATAAATTCCCATGACCTCCTCTACACGATTTCCAAGTTTGATATCATTTGATCCAGTAGTTTTCCTTTTATGAGCGTTTCAATGTGGAACTTAAATTATAAACCACTCTGTATATATTAAATTTTAATTGAGAAGCTATGCATTATATGTATACCATGCGTAAAATTTTCTTTTTATGGAAAAATAAAAAATCGAAGCAAATATACTTAGAATAATGGACCAAAACTGAAAAGATTTCCCCTTTCCCCCCTCCCTCCGAAAATAAATATTGAAATTTTTCGAACTTGAATTTACTGGTTATCGAAATATTTATTTGACTTATCTTCTAAGTCCTAGTTCTGACAACAATTCCGTCAAAAATCCCGAATTATTTAAGCTAAAGTAAAAGATTTAGTATATATTCACTGTATGTTAATAAAGTAATCAGAGTGTAATAAAAAATAATTATAGAATGTACGCTGATGTAACTTTTTGTCTGACTGCACAACACGTAATGGAAGAGAAGGCTTGTCGAGATCTGTTTTTGACATGCCTCTAAAAGTAGATGTCATATTAATTTTGTCTCTTCAATGTCAAAAAACTTTCCTTTGAGAGGCAACTTTAGTTTTGAGAAAGAAAAAAATCACAAGAAGACAAATTTGAAGAACATGCAGGACGATTGAATATAATACTTATTTTCCGAACACAAGGCAGCGGTTCTCTGACTGGTTATTGAATAATGAAAGATGCATTGTCATGCAATACAAAACATTTGGAATACTTTTTCTTTCTGGCTGAATACGTAAGATTAAAAGTCATCTGCTTAATTTCACATCCATTTACAAGTCAACTACTTGCAATAATCAACTATTGCAGAATCGTTTTGATCCTGAGCTTGTAAGACAAACCTAATAATATCACTGGATTTTAAAACACTTCTTTAATCTTCCGAGAACGTTCCTTCTTTAGCTCATATTCCAAGAATATTAAGTGAATACAATTATTGCCAAAGAAATTGAATATTCATTTGCACTAACGGCTTGATAGTTTACTAACGAGTTAACAAAACTTAAATTCTGCTTTTTGTGTCAAAGAATACAACAATATTTTAAATATTTACAAATAAAATATTAAATTGGAGATTTAATTGGTGCTTCACCAGTTGCCTAGCATTTGAAGATTGTTAAATACTAATTGTTTGTTGCGAAATCTAACCCAGGCTGCATGATTGGTTTTCGTAGTTTTCTAGGTTCTCTTTACAAAGGTTCTCTATAAAATCATCTTAATCATATAGCTCCCATGTTCTTTCTATGTTCAAATAACAACTGACCTAGTTTAAGCGCGATTTACAAGTGAATTTTCAAGCAAAACCCGAATGGTCATTAAAAATCATGTAGCCTGCCAATTGGGAGTAACATGAAATATACGGCGCCAATAATTGAAGTGCTCTTAGGGTACGCTGTTTCTAAACTTAGATGGTCATTCCTTAATTAAATAGCCTACCAGCGGCCGAGCGGTAAAGACGCTGAACACTGGTAGTTCGGTCTGAGGTTACCGTAATAATTACTTATTATATTACTGATGATTAGGATTCAGTTCTTGACATTTACATTCTAAATTAGAATTTTAAGGATATAATGAAAATACGCTACGCACAAAAATACATTTTAGGAAAAAAAAATGAGTTGATTTTTTATGTTTTAAAACTTCTTAAATTCTTTTAGTAAACATCGTATCCTCGTTGTTTACTGAATCCAGAATGTTGGTGTCGTTTATATAATTATTCTTACTTGTCCACAGAATCTGCTGACTTATCCAGCCATTAAGTAGCTGCAGATCATTTCTACATAACCATTGAACTTCCATTAATTCAGTCTCTAGAGGGTTGTATGTTTATATCATAATTTGACTTTTATAAAAAATGATTATTCTAAATATTATGTTTCTATAAAAATATATTGTGCTTTAAAAATATGAATAATAGTATCAGCCGCTCTTTCAGCCACTTCAAAAGCAACAGTTTGTTTAGAAATAAATTATGCAGTTAATGTCATAAAATTCAAATAAATATCAAACGAAAATTCTCAGTTTTAGACAATTTGATTTAAATGAAGTAAAGTAACAGACGATAAAACGCCGAAGGTAAAAATTTACTCTTACAAAAACTTACTCTTAAATTTTTTTAAAAAAAGAAAAGATACGAGAGAAATTTTAAAAAATAGTTAAAAATTTGAATAATATCATCTATAATTTAAAAAAATGGCCTTTCATATAGTATTAATAAATATTTATTACGCATCATTGAGGGAAAAAAAGTCATATACTTAATTCGTCGTAAAATTTTACTTGAAGTTTAAGGTTAAAAATAGTTGTGGCAATTCAGTGTAACAAAAATCCATAGACCACATTTGGCGTTATTATCGCTCAAAAAAAAGTGGCAAATTTCAAAACGCAAAATTATGTAAATTCGTGTATATCTTAGAAAATTTTGAATAAAAAAGTCTAATTTTTTGCAGATTATGCTTAAAAAATACACCTACTTTAAGATGATGGTAAAAATTTTATAGGTTATAAATTCAAAATTTTTTTTCGAAAAATCTATAGAAATTATTTAAAAATAGAAATTTAAAAATAAAACACAAAAAATGGGTAAATTTTATTTGGAATGAACCAGAATTTCGAAATGTGAGAAAAAATCAAAAAAGTTTAATAAAAAAGAGATATTAATAAATATTGCCAAATTCAATTAAACATTGAGGAGCTAAAATTTTGAGAGCTAATATTTTAAAATCTATATTCGTACGATTTTTACAAAACTTGGTATTCTGCATAATTTGAGTCGTAGAATCGAAAATATGTAAAAAAAATTGGCATGTTTATTTCAGAAAAAGAAAAAGTCCAATTTTTTGTGTCAAAATACCTATGTTAGAATAGTACTATATAAAAATCTAATATATATATCCTAAGTCGCGCTTTCGAGACATGAAAAACTTAGTTTGAATTTTGTCAATCGGCCCGATAGAACGGGAGATATAGCACTGTCCCTTTTTTTTTTTTTTTTTTTTTTTTTTTTTTTTTTTTTTTTTTTTTTTTTTTTTTTTTTTTTTTTTTTTTTGAGCAGTGTTTTATTTTTTTTTTTTTTTTTTTTGTGTCCCATATTATGATGAAAGCATAACTGTGGCTTGTGACATTAAATGCACTTATTGCAATTTCAAGTCACTTGCATAATGGAAACAATTTTGCAATAGCAGAAATAATCTGAACTTACCCATTATCTCCTATATTTTGTGGATAAGAGTTCATTTTAAATGCTTCTTCTAACCATTCCAGAAGTTTATGGCTAAATTCACTAACATCCTAAATGAAAGAAAATTCAAAATATTGGTATCAATAATAATTAAAAATAATTATAATATAATAATTTAACAGTCAATAATAATTTTCCACATTTATTCTTAATGTTAAAATAATTTAATATTATTACAATAATAATTTAATAATCAATAAGTTTTCCCATTTATTCTTAATGTTCACATAAGATTGCATTTTATACAATAAAATTCCATCATGATATACTTCATTAAAATGTAACAACTAGTACAGTACAATAAGTCCAAACATAATATATTGTATTAAAAATAGAACAGTGCAAAACAAAATTAATGAACATGAAAATAAGGATCGAGATAGCACAGTGCTTGAAACTGTAATGAAAAAAAATTGTGGGCTAGTTCTGAATAATTTTATTATAGCAAATAAATTATATATATTCGACTTAGTTTGTCTTATTTGCTATTAATGGATTAGTACTGTTAATTGATTACATCTTTTAAAATTGTAGGCATACACTGTTGTTTAATTCTGAATGAAATTAAACATGGACAATTAGATTGTTAAGAAAATAAACTTACATTATAAAAAAGGCAATAAAATGTTCAAAAATAATAAAAATTTAAAATACTATTATATAACTCAAATCTTTCTAATTGATTTCCCACTCACATGGCCATGCATGATGAAAAGATCATAAATATATTTATTTAAATAGGAAAATACAAGAAAAATTTCTTCTCATAACTTTTCTATCCATATAATTAACAGCTGATAATCTACTGCAACATATACTAAATGAGAATACTGAAAGCAATATAATTACATAAAATTCTCACTCCATTTCTTGTTTAAAATCAAGAGATTTTGCATATAAAAAAACACTAACTTGTTGGGAATCAGTTCCACTACTATCAGGAAAAGCTTCTTTAAATTCTTCTAATGCATGAGATGGATCTACATATTTTCGCTTTGAACATAATAAAAGAGCAAACAATTTTCTTAATTCTTGCATGAATGCAAGATTCCGCCTTTCCTAGAAGAAGGGAAAAGAAATATAAATAAAAACATTAAAAATCAATAACTCAGTAAACCACATACTTGCTTGGTAAAACTATATTTTAGGGTACCCTTGACGAAACTTGGTGATTTTTGCCGGTACATGGATACCGAGTTGGTGCAATTCTTTGTCTTGTTATCTTGGCTTTGTGTTACATCGACCTATTTTCACCTAAAAAAAAAAAAATCTCAGAATTGCACAAAAATGGCATTGCGCACTCCCTTGACTTTTATCCATATACACATCAACCTATTTTCACTTTAAAAAAAATCAGAGAACTGCACAAACTAGGCTAAATCGCCGCTACACAAAGATAAAATAACAAGACAAAGAATTGCACAAACTCGGTATCCATGTACACATCGACCTATTTTCACTTAAAATAAATTCCAGAATTGCACAAAAATGGCATTGCAAACTCCCTTGACTTTAGCCATGTACACATCGACCTATTTTCACTTGAAAAAAATATCAGAGAATTGCACAAACCATGCCTTATGCAATGCCTTGAGTTTGTCCATGTACACATCGATATATTTTCATTTAAAAAGTCAAGGGAGCACCCAATTCTACAGTAGAGGCAAACAAAAAATACATAATCTCAATAAACTACATTTTAAAGCAAACAATAAAATAACATAAAAAGGGGAAACCTGTTATGCATTTAAGCAATACACAAAGTAAATATCCACTTACCTTATTTAGTCTGTGGCACAAAAAATTCCTTAACAGCATCCAAAAACTTTCTAAAATTATCTGAACTAGAATCCGTATATCAGCGTCACCACATAAATTCACAAAAATAAGAGTCAAAAATATACTAAGTAGTTTCAGACTGTCAGGAAAATGGCTACTAAGTAAACCTTCATTTACACACCAGTCAATTAATGTATTCCTCTTTCATTCCAAATCATACAGAAACTTCAAATGAATCTTACTACATTCAGCTATTGTACCGTCTAAACAATGAAACAAGCAATGTACTAAGCAACACACACCACAAAAGCCCTTGCAAAATATCCCATGATTCAAAATTTCCCAGAATAATGCAAATGATTATGTCATAATAGGGTTTCCATAAATGATACAACTTTGCGATGATACAAGAGGTACTCTAAAGTCAACTCTAACCACTTGCTTTAGTAAATGATTTCTTATGAACAAACACATGTACATAGACAGATCCAAAAAATTCTGGTTTGATACACTTCTAAACGACATGCAGAAAATGTGTCCAGTTTATTTTTTCATATGAACATCTTGAACTTTGATACACTTTTCACATCATTTAATGAAAAATTCTATGCTCCAGGAAAAGCAATTTGAAGATCTGTCCACAAAATGTTCCATAATCGGCCTTTCCATGCCATCTTCATCACCAAATGTTTTCTATACAAGTCAGATTTCGTATTAGAGAACAAGGAAATAACCAGTTGAAATTAAATCTCAGTTGTAAGGGGAGATGGATACCTCAAACCTACTGCCAAAAGGAGTCTGAAGTATCCAACTTGTAAGTTCAAGAAGAATGCACAAAATAGTTGTTTCAGACAGATCTAATCTTGCTGCTGTCCCCTCGACTATTAATCTTCAATCATTATTTCTGCCTAGACATGAGCAATATCTTCCAATGTCAATGCCTTGAATGCTAGACTTTTACAAGAACAATCTGCGGACAGGAAAAAAACGCATCACCACACATATTACCCAAGCATAGTCTTATTTCTTTGGGAATGACACCTTCTTTAGTTGAAAACTTAATCATAGAACAATATTTAATTTCAGAATAAATTAAAACATCACTTTATCCAATAAACAGTCAAAAAAGAACAAAGATGATTTCACTAGTGAAACTTCCAAATTTATACATTTAGTGCTGCCACTATACACCTGCAAAAAGAATTTATTGCCAAACAACATTTTATATGCGAGGCCAGAAATTTTGAATCTACCTATGTTGCTACAAAGTTCAGACAAAAGTTTTCAGTTGCTTATGAAAGAAAGCACATTTGAAATTTAACTGCATCGTCGACTGTTTTAGCCAACAAGTACACATTTGGGCAGAAATTCCTGGATTTCATATCTAAATATAGAAATAATAAAAGATTTTAAGCAATATCTTATTTCACAGATGGACAAAACAAATTTTACTACATGTTTCACCTATATACTGCGATATAATGCTTGGATTTACTATTATCTGGTCCAGGCAAAGTAATGTGAGGAAATCAGGTTGTGACCATGCCTGACTGGCACAATCACCATCATGGTGTGGAGCAGTGAATATCATGTATCCATGGTAGAGGTGTACATCAATAAGGAAAATTCTATCATCACCACAGAGTGACTGCTCTGCACTTACTTCTGTCTTGTTTTTATTGTGAGAGTAAATGTTTTGAAGAGCAGGCTCAGATTTACAATAACATCTCATGGCAGATCTTGCAGCATACAGACATCACAGAAAATTGAAGCAGTGAGGTAAGATATCACAAGATCTCCACAGTAGCACATATAATGCTGCTACAGAAATTTCTGGCTGCAATGAATGCAAAATTTTACTTATAATGGTATCTATACAAGCTGATGATTGCACAAGAACTTGCAAAACATAACTGTTAACAAAATTGTTTCTATTGAGGTTACCTTGCAAAATGTTCCACATAATGTTATGCTTTTCACTGATGAACAACATTTTCATTTGTCAGTCTGTGAGCACAAACAGATCTTTCACTATGGGTTCAAACTAATGCTCAAATTAATCTTTGGCAATGCTATGAATACGGTACTACGGAGTGGTCTGCTATCACTGATTTTGATGTAGTATGCCTCTAATTTTTTTTTAGAAAAGTAGTTACTTTTCTGTTTCGCTGGCGCAAATCTCGCCAAGCAGACTTTATTGGCAACAACACACAGTACACACATAAAACATTTTAACAAATGTTAATTCTAAGATTTTTTTATTTCGATTTTTTTAATCATTTAAAATTTTGTAAAAAGCTGAAAAAACACACAATAAATTTGTAAAAGACATTAATTTAAGAATTTACTATGCTTTCATGGTTCAACATCCTGATTCGTCGGTTCATACCATCTGACCCCAAGTGATCTCATCTTACGTAAACTACGCTACAAAAATCCAATTCTTTCAGTAATTATCTACATTAATTTCAAGTTAAATCTTGATTTGGAATACAAGTTTAAATGCAAGAATTATTTCAATTTGTACGAATAGCTTACTCTGAAATTATGTAAAACCGCAGTGCTTTACTTCGCTAGTACGTTCTCATTAGAATTGATGAGCCTTTGCCTTTTCTATATATTTGCCTTTGGGTGAGCCATATGATTGCATCCTAATTGACTTAATTACTGCGAATGGACTTGGGACATAACACTGAACTATCTAATAAAAATTCTATGTAATTGTATGACAATATTGGAAAAAAAAAAAAAAAAAAATAATCATTTTGATAAAAAAAAATGGCTGTGAATTGTTTTGAAAATGAGGCGTAAATGGTTACCAGAAAAGATATTCCGTTTGGCATCAGTTTTACCATTATTGACGATTTTATCGACTGCGCTGGCAAAACGGAAAAGTACCGAAAAGTACTATAGCATCTGATCATTATGCAAATTTCTGCAGCAGCAAGTGAATAAATGTGGCCATTTGGCTGGGTGGTTTTAAAAAGCGGTACCCCAACCTAGACTTACATGGTGTGTATAGACCTACATATTAATGAAAATGTTAAATGAAATGGGTATTTACATATTATCCTGTCTGTGAGATTGCTGCGAAGCAACGTGATTTAGCAACATTTATGGATAAGTGTGATGTTACAAAACACTCATAAAATTTGTGCTTTCATTTGACATAATCCCAATCCATTCCATGTCAGCCACATAGAATTCCGGTTCATTAACAACTAGTCAAGTGAATTAACATCTATCGAACAGGGAAAAGAATGTGGAACGAACAGCAATGATTGCGAAAAGATTGCACTCATAGGATTCTAGACAGAACTTCCAGTAAAATCAGGGGGCGTAAAAAATAATAGAAACTGGCGAGTGCCTCTTTATGAAGCTCTAAAATCAAGCCAGTTGAATACTTTTGCAGCAGTGGCTATTTGGTGGATTGTACAGAGAGACTACCAAATGTTTTATTGAAAGATTTCTAGATAGAAATGTGGCTCAGAATTCAGAGGAATGATTGACGCAGTTTGGGCTGATACCCACAACTTTCAAAGTTCAACTTCCACAATCAACGGGATAATATGTATGTACCATGAAATGTTTCTAGGGCATCTGATCTCACTTTAAGGTAGCATTCAATGGCCAGTTCATGCATCTGATCTTGCACTTTGCAGATGATTTCTGTGAGGATACCTAAAGACTGAAAAGGAAATCCAAACGTAACCAATGAAAGATGCTAACACATAGGATATCATGGTAACGGCAAGGATATCATGGTAAGATGACTAGGAGGGTAATGCAGAAATCACAATGAGATTTCAGAAATTTATATACAGTGTAAGTCAGCATTTGGACATTTTCAAAACAAACTACTCACACAAAATAGCGAATTGCTGCACTTTCAAACTATTATTCATTATAAATATGCAATGGAGCAGAATATTTTGTTATTTGTAAATGTGAAGCAAAATGGTAAATCTTTAAATTTCCAACAGTGAAATAAAATTCTGCAGAACTTCTATCAATGCTTTGTTTATTATATATGAAGTATTGGAGTTATTTCTGCCATACTCTTGTAAGGTTCTTACTGTTAAACTAATAACAAGTTATTATGATTCTGATCTATATTCTATAATAACAAGTTATTATGTTTTCTTCTTTCCATATTCCTCACAAGAATGCACATTAGCTTTAGAGTATATAAGTTGAGGGTTGTAAATCTTAGTCAAAGAAAGAGTTTCTGGCACTCGCATTATGCCGTTAGAATTTTGCAAGCTCCATCTGAATGCGATTATTCTAGTTTTTGCATTCTCTCACAGCTAATGCTTTAAAACTTATGCACGGATAAGAGATACAGAACCAGTTTAGTTTATTGCATGTGTTACTAGGCTACTTTATCGAGGTTTAAATTTATTTGATTGTTATCGCTTAATATACTTCGCCACAGGTAGTAGTTTTCATCTGTAGTACAAGTTATGCCTTTTAAAATTAGAGTTCCGATTAAATAAAAAAAAATTATTTAAAATGTTCTCAAAGCTTTGTTATAGTGTTTCAGACATAGTGATAACTTGCCAAGTCATCTAATAAGGTTGTAGGATTTAAATTCAATTTTCCAAGTGATTGCCACTTTATACTTTGTATTAGATTATTTTTAAAATTATTTTATTCTTCAAAAAATGTTATTTTCAAGCTAAATATTTTTCACTATATGTTACTTGAGCTAACGTGTTTTGTTAAGAACTGCATCAAAACAGTCATCTTTGTCAGTATTCAATGGATTAAAAATCAAAAAATTAATTGATCAAAAGTAGAAAACTTACAGCAAGCACTACATTTAACATCAAACCTGCTGCAGCATAACAAGAAAAAATACTGACTTTTTACAAAGAAGAAATTAATTTTTGTTCTGAAAATTAAATATCTGTATAGATTCTCAAAAATAATGCACTATTTTCTTATGCTTTTTCCCCAAATTTATATAACTTAAAATTATTATATCATTCAACTTCTAAAAAAATGAACTTGTTAAATACATCATCACTGTAATAAAGCTTAGCTTTTATTTAAATTTAAGAAACTACCTTGGCATCAGGTGCAATCATATTCCAATCTCTTGGAGAATAACTCAGAACTAACCTTCTGAAAATAGGAAGATGAAACAAAGACTGAAAGGGAAAATATATAAAAATTTAAAATGATGTTAAGCAGTTCATTATTTTGGAAAAAAAAAAATAAAATATTTTGCCTATAATATGGACTAATTTAATTTTAAAAACTATTACAGTCTTTTACTTAAAAGAAATATAAAAAGCAAGAGTTTTAACATAAAATTTTACACAAAATGCTAATAACCAGAGTAGCATTAAAATTCTAAAGATTTCATTCTTCATTTTCAGTTTTCCTTAAATAATATGCAGGGTTGCCATAAAGTAAGTTTGACCTAAATACTAGTCCTATACAGTTGCACAATTCAGCAGATCAAAATGAAATTCAAGATGTGAGGATTGCATGATTTTCCCTGAGAATCACACAAATACCAATAATTACAGTTACATCAAAACAACAGATATAGAAAATTTCCAATGGCAATAATTAATTTACACATTTTAATGTAAACAGCACAGAAGAAGAGGGAGAAAAAAACTTTGGAACAGTACTTATAGCAAGCAATGTGCAAAACCACTAGCAAAGAATACAGCAGGAATGACAAATGAGGAAAGAGGGGCACAGACAAGTATGTATAATTTGCATCATGACAGGTCTAGCAAGACAGTAGAACTTCAGGTATAGTCAGGTATAGAATTTGTACAGGTATAGTCCCACTACACTAACTGTACAGTTCTTCCCCAGTTTCGATGAATAGTGGCTTGATAGATCCACCAAACACTGGAGATTACTTAAAGCTCACCAGTATTTTAATGCAGTTACAAGCTGAAGCAATGTTAGCACTTGCACATTCAAGTAGATATATATTAGGTACTGTCATACCTTGCTGCTTGTTAAGCTTCCATACTAGTACTGACAAAGAACACTAGGGGGGAAGGGGTCTGAGGGTTTCCACCTCTCTCTTTCCTTACTACCAACTACTCGAAGGACTTTCGGTTTGCATTTGTGAATTTTGAGTGTCCCTTGCTGCAGAAATAATTTACAGTTATTCATGCCTTCTGCAGAATTTTAACCTGGGTCTATCGGTACTGCCGTCAGCGTCACCAACCACTGTACTGGTCGAGCAGCAGCAGCCCAATGACACTGAGACTGCACATACCAATCAGGCATGAAATCACAAGCATTAACCACACAACCCAAGCTGTTATCGTTTTATGTGATAAGTCTATATAGCATATCACAACTTTCTCTATAACTGTGACTAGAATATTGAAATATACTTATATTAAGCTTAAGGGCTATTTGCATATGAAAATGAATGTTTTATGGAGAATTTAAAAATAACAACTAGCTCGTATATAAGCTACACACATACACACACAGAAAAATCATAATAATAATAATAAACCAACCACTTGCTGAAAACTAAAATTAAAATGACCTAAGAATATTTTACCATATTCAGCAAACAGTCAACAAACACATCTTTTAATTACAGAACACTACACTATTAATTCAGGTATAATATATTCAGTTTAATTAACTATAATGAAATCATCAGTATAAATATTACAGTTTTGATGATTAAAAACACAAGGTGAAATTGCTCAAGTAAAACTGCATAAAATATTACCTGTATAACAGCTGAAAACCAGCATGTGTTTCCTACATTTTTCAGACCCACAGGCCAATCTCCATTTCGTTTTCGGTCATGAGGGTTCAAGGGATCTTGCCATACTTCTCCTCTTTTCCTTTTTGTTCCAACTGCTTTTGTTTCAGCGAGACTTGCTTCTACAACTCTATTTTTTACACAGCAACAAAGAAAGGAATTACTTAGCAACATTATGTATGAATATAATATAAACCTTTTATTAGGAATGGGAAAAAAAATCAATACATCATTTTTAATAAATGGTATAAATCATTTATTAAACCTGTAATCAGTTAACATTAACATTAAGAATATAGAAAATTTACATGCTACAGTTCCAAGATTTTACTCGAAAAGGATTTACTTAAATTTGGTTGACATCTTTTTTAAAACAATTCTCCTGAAATTTTAACACTGCCAAAGCAGAGCAGATGTCCTTTCCTTAATGGCGATTCAATATTGCCTATAATTTCACATGGATTTCACTTAAAGTGTCATATCCCTTTGGTTTCAATTTCATTTTCATAAAATAAAATTAGTCAGAGGGAGCTGTTTCGTGAAAAAATAAAGGGTGTAGGATTAAAAAAGTTCAGAAATTCTTGAAAAAGAGATTAAAAAATAAAAAATAAAAAACAGTCCAACATGATTTGTTGCATCCAATTTTTCATACACTTACAAATTTGCAATAGCTGCAAAAATTAACATCAAGAATATAGAAAATTATAAGCCGAGTTCACTATATCAGTGTTTGGCTGTATGTAAGTATATTTTTGTACTTCTTATACGATAGGCTTTCACATCTATGAGTTGGGATGGATTTTAAAACTAAACTCTGTTGATAATAACAACAAAGCAAAAAATTAACATATACAGCAGCATGCAGTGTTTTCCAAGCCAGATTATTGTGCATTAGTGAATCAATTAAGTGGATAACTAATCACTGTTCATTAAGTTGTAGCTTTCTTATTTCCACTGATTCTCTTACATCCTTATATTCTCTTATGAATACTTTCTCCTGTTATCAGTTAACTTTCATCTCTCATGCAATTCTTAAAGATCTTAATAATAAAAGTGTTGATGTGTCTTTTCATGTACATGGTCATACTGACAATCTAGGAAAGGAAAAGACTGACTGGTTGGCAGAACAAGCTACAGACCTTCAAAATAAGCTCACAGTGACATTAAATCATTCTTCAAGAAACAGAGTAAAACAATTATCAAGCAGAATGAATTACACAGAAATTCTCCTACTGCCTCGCAGTAGACTAAATTATTTTTTCCTTCTATTCCTCACAGACTCAAAAATAAACATCCTTTTCTGCAATTTTGAAATTACTAAATTTTTAACTGTGTGCGGTAATTTCAATTCATATTTAAAGACAGTAGACATACTTACACAGTACACATCGACCATGAGACTGTTACCAAGCAGTGCGATTTAGCACCAATTATAGATAAGCCCACACATACCAACACATTCATAGCATTTGCACTTTTGTTTGACATAACACCAACTGACTGTTAATAAGCTATGTTTTGCTTTTATGAACAAGGATATATATTGTTATTGCCTATACCTTTTTCCTTGCATTTAAAAAAATTCAATATAGGACCTTTCTTCTGCAGAACAGCAGGCAACAGATTATTTTCAATGTCATGGGATCCTACTTTATATTAAAAAAATAATAATAATAAATAAATAAAATAAAACATGTATTAATGGATAGAATATGTTCAGCTGAATATGGGCGACAAAACAGTAATCTATTACTGATTTGTCTACTACACCTATGGAAAGTTTGTATTCATAGTGTTCTAAACAGAGTTCCTGGTATAATCAAAGAGCCTAATAAATAACAGAAATAAACAAAAGCCTTTTTATGAAATGCAAAAATGAAGTGGGACGAATACTGACTGCTTATTAAATAAAAAAGCATCAGTTCCTTTAGCATTACGCAGGAACAATTAGTACAATCTTGGTGGGATCTCCACCAACTTCATGATTGATGGGATAATAGTAAGTACCCTAAAGAGTTTGGGCTGTGTCAATATGAACTTGCAGATGCAGCTTCAGGGCAGTGCAAAATGTCGAACATTTGTTGTTCTATTGTTCAAAGCTTACGAAAGGAAGAAAAGAACTCATTTCACAGTTAAATTCTTTTAAATATTAAGTTTCCTCAACTCCATGTTCAAGAAAAACAGCATTCTCCTCTTTCTGTATATTTATTTCTTAAGTTTCATCTATGAATTTATAACTTTTTATTTCATGTTATGTTACATTCCCCCCTTCCCTCAGTAAATATGGTATGATGCTATGTGCACAAACAGTTTATATATTCTTAAAATTAATATATAGAGAGAGATAGATGTGTAACAAAAATAAATCCTGCAGAAAGTAAAGTTGATTATTAAAACACTGAACTACATCATCTTTAACTCGGTATAACGTATAATGAATGAATCGGAAAGAACAGAATTATATTCTACTTTTTACTACATATTTTAGAAAAAGATTTTTCATAGCAGAAATAATAAAACATTTATTTTCATATAAATTAAACAATTTATAATCTTTAGGAAATCTATGAGTATCTTTTCTTCTGTTTTTTAGCATGTTTGTTCCAAAAATACCCAACCCTGATTCAAGGCATAACGTTGCATTTGACTAAAAATGAAGCGCCAAACAATATAATTCTAAACAATAAAACAATGTTCAAGTTTTCTTCAAAGATCAAGTAACTGATTTCTTTTTTAAGTGATATCAACCACAGTAAGTTCACTACCATTGTTCATATTTTCCCTCCAGCAACCAATAGTTAGTTGCCCTAAGTGTTAATGCCCTAACTGCCCTGTCTTTATCTAGGTGTTTTGCCAAATTAACTCTGTAACTAATTAATTAATTGTGTTTGTGTCAGTAGTTAGTTACTGGTGGTTATTTACTAACCACTAGTGGTTAGTTACTGGTAATTAATGCCTAATTCATCTAACTGTTGGTTAGTTGTCCCTTTTTTAAATAAGTATCCAAATAGACTTACATGGAGCAATTTAACCACTTGCACTAAAAAGACATGCCACGCACGTCAAGATGCTTTTGTCTCAAACCGCGAGCGACATGAATACCACGTTGATAGGCATTTATCGAAAAAATGAAAATAACGTGGTGCACACGTCTCCTAACAACGAGATTGTTTATTTCTCGAGTTACAGCTCTGGAGACACTCGCAGATGCGGAGCGGCGTAAATGAGACGCTTTACCGTTTGTTATATTGTAGCGCACGGCGCCGCAAACATGAAGTTTAGTCGTAGCGCAAGTGGTTAAAAACACCTATTATATCTAAGAATGCTTTATAAAAGCTCCACAAAGCCCTTTCAGAGTCTTCAGACCTGATCTGGTAAGATTCATACAGAACTTCACCCATGTTAATTACTTGAATTTGCCAGGAAAGTTGAAAAATTGTTTCAATAAGTCACAAAATATATATAAGCAAATAAAAGCATAATCTATCACTAAAAAGAAACGAGTAATTGGTAGCAATGACCTTCAATACCCTGAATACCTGTTTTGAGCCATACCTGTTGCTGAGAGCAAAACATGAGAACTTTTAGATGCTACCTTACATGCTTACTTTGAGTTTGAGTTACTAGTTTTACTTTGAGGTAAAATGCTTAAAAGGACACAGATAAAGATAGTTTAGCAATTATGACAGCAAACTTATTTAAAACTACACCACAGATGGAAGAGCTGCATGATTTACATGCCCTAGCATTACTCATTGAGTACACATTCCAAAAGAACTTCATCCACTTCATGACGCAACTCACCTTAGGGATAATGTGTTGTTGCAGTAGTACGATCTCGCAAGATGGGGTATTTTAGGTTGTTAAGCCTAGCTTTTAAGAAAATTCATTAAAAATATTTTTTATCAATTGTTTTGATTTTTCTTACAATGGTATCTAGGAGTAATATAATCGTAAATACACAATACCAAGAGATTCTAAAATAAAATTTAACTAAAACCAAAATGCAATATAAAATATTTGACTCGTCTTGATGAAATGCTGTAAAAAACTTACTTAAATCTACCATATGCAAAAATAATAAAATATACAATTAAATATTATAGTATAATTTCATAATATTTACTTTTCAAAATTTAGCAAATATTTCATTATGGGCCAATGTGGTAAACCTAACACAGTTCATGAGTTTGATTTCATGCAATTCACAAGTTTAATTAACAATTCACACAATTGATAAGTTCCATTTCTTTTTCACAGGAAATAAATATTTATTAAAAGCTCCCCCCTCCCTGCTTACATGGATTTCACAATTTGGGAATTTTACCACAGATAAATCAAAGTTTGAATTTTACCATAGATAAATCAAAGTCTGAATTAATGTATTTTAAGCAACAGGCATCAGAAAAAATAAAGAGCTATGCTTGAAAGATCATGACATAAAACTCAGTTTTGAACAAAACGCCGTGACATGTCGTTGCAGGAAATGATCTTGCAATAAGAGAAAAGGAACAAATTACAACTTAAGATGAACCATAATAATAATGTTGATTGGAACAGTTGCATGCAGGAGGTTTGCAAAACAGCTTTAATAGCCCAGCCAACAGTGAAAATTGGTGGTAGTGACAAGGTTGCCGAAATAAACGAAATACTTTTCACTAGGAGAAAAAGCCATGTTGGGCGGGTTCTTCCACAACAATGGGTTTGCGACTGATTGTGAGGAGACTCCAATGAACGCTTTTTATTTGCAGTTCCTTTTGGTAAGGCACATAAATCAGATGAAATGCAAGACGGTGGCTTCGAACACTTATTTACCACAAATTTATTTCACTTTGTTGTACCAAAAAATGAATGTCACACCCAGAGGGTAGAGCATCTGTGAGGGAAGTGCAAAATGGCACAACAAACGGCATCGCGGCATGGCTCAACAACACCTCGAATCCTACTTGTCCGAGTTTATGTGTCTACAAATGCATTAAAAAAATAAAATTTTTTCTTCGATGTTGGAAGATATTAAAATTTTAATGTATCCTCAATATATTAATAATTAAAGATCTAGATTTCAGATTTTTTCCCTTATTTCATGTTTGATTTGATGGAAAAAATTTAAACATCGCCAATGCCCCCCCC